TTTTTGGGGGGGCGGTGGCGGATTTAAAATTCTGCCTGCAGAACACACAGTCGCTACCTGTTAATGTAGATCCTGCAAAGCGCTTTGAAATGCCCTCCCAAAATGAATGGCACAATAACAAGCGCAAGGATTGTGATTATTTAGTGGGAAGCACCTAAACCCCGTGTTTAGAAGGGCCTCTTTCAAGGTTCTATTTCCATGGGTTGGTGACATGAGAGCGACCCAACTGAAAGTGACTTCAAACTCACATCGTGGCAAAGAAAAGTGTAACTCATTATCGAATTGTTATAAATTGGTCTAAATAAATGACTGACTTTTGAAAAAGCGTTCCAAGTGTGATTTGGGTTTGCTCGGGGGATAGTGACCATTAGATCTCTGTGAACGAGCTAAGTGTGAAGGCTTTGGAGACTATAGGTCCCAAGCAATGGTTCAGCTGTCTTGTCCTGCAAAAACATTGCCACTAAACAGTTGGGAACGATGTTAATGATTTGTTATTGTCTATAAATCTTCGAGCTTGCCACGATCAATACAATTTTGCATCTCTGTGGTATTCTATGAATATAGTTGCAGTAAACCAGTGCAATTCAATCAAAATCAAATACACTATGGTACAAAATGGAGCCAGAGCACTGATATATACAGGCTTCACGCTATGCCAGAGCTCCAATCAGGTCAATTCCTCGAGGGCTTCGCTGGTTTCAGTAACTCTTGGAGCATGAGCCCTCAGAGTTGGAAATAGATCAGGCTTCCACTGCATATTTCACAATAATGATGTGAATATAAAATATTCATAATAGGGGACAATATAATGTATCTAAATATATTTATTACGAAGTTGCCCAAGTTGACCGGAATCAAGTTTGATTTTGGAGGGTACAATAACTGATATTAGACGCACAGTGTTCCAGCTTCATAATTCATTATTTTGTTTTTCCATCTGGAGTTTGGTACAAGCTGACAAAGTCTATACAAGTCAAGTCTTTCCTTCCAAATACAACCACTTTGCTAGATACATGAGCCTCATTGACTGTTATTTCTGGCAATTCATTGCAGATTGTCCTTGGGTGAACTTGCTTTCATTAAATTGAGAATGTTACTCTTCGCTGCGGACATCATTCAAATCGACTGCTCAGGGAGTCTCAGTGATCAGTCTGCCATGACCTCAACCATTCTATATTCATCTGTTTTTATAAGGATATCAAATAATAATCCTTCCATTTGATATAGGGCCTTTCATGTCAAGAGGACGTCTCGAAGTGCTTCACGGGATTTACCGCAAAGTGCAGTTACTTTCTTTATGAAAGGCGAATGCAGCAGTCAATTTGCAATGCAGTAATGTCCTACAAAGAGCCATGAAGTGAATAAAGGGAAAGACAGATAATGAGGCAGGTGTAGAGTACTCAAGCTTCCTTCCGCCAGCCAGAGACATTCTCAAACCAGTAGGTGGCAGGTGCATTGGTGTAACCCATATTTCATATAGGGTGTGTCTGGTCTCAACTCGGCTGAAACCTACAATTCAACCACTTTGTCAAGCACCATTTTTTACTACTCCTAACTAATAATAGTCTTTGTATCTAATATAGTGCCTTTCATGTCAGGAGGACAGAGAGTGTCTCAAAGCCCTTCACATGATATACCGAATACCTTTGCAATCTGCATTAAACCCTTCCCCGTTCATTTTAAATTTGCAGGCGGGGAGCTTCCAACACTTGCTTCCTAAAGATTTTTTGGGAATGATTTGTACGATCTGGGAGAATTTATGAAGACGCGTTCCTTCAAAAACATGTCTGTTTTTCTCTTTTTGTTGTTCAAAATGTTACACGACTGGTATTGTCTTGCTACTCAAACAGCGCACCGATAAATATCTTCACATTGTCGCTATGTGTTGGTTTTTGAAAGGGCCCTTTGAACTGATATTTTCAAGATAACTTACATCCCCGTCTCGTCTGAGGGAGATACAGTGTGTCACTTAAGAAGCAGATGGGAATCTCAAGCATATCTACATAGAAGCCATAACTTCAATAACCTAACAGTAAAAGGAGCTTCCTTATAAAGACCTTGGGCCAATAGGTTAAATCTCTTTGGGAATGTTATTACACTATCAAACCTGTCATGCTTCATGCATTAAGTGTGAGATGCACACATTTTATGACCCATTCAAGCCTGATATGCATTTCGAAATCTCATGATAAAATTCCTGCTTGAGAACTGTTTATTTTTCTGAACACACATTTGTTTCCATGTAAATGCCACTTGTCTTTCTGCACAGCTAAACTGCAGTGGCACATATCAAAATGGACTCCACATTGTCTTGAGTATTTGCCTGAAAGATGTCTTGGGTGCAGGCTTGCTTCTACCCCCACCCCTCCATCACATCATCTCCCTAAACTAAATGTTTACTGCCCTGATGTTAAGAGCCCACTTCTAATCGATATCCGGATGTGAAATAATAACGTTAAGAGTTCAGTTCTGGGTCATGGCAGGTTCAATGGCTTTTGGGTCAATTCACATTAAACTGAACTGGGGCAGTCCACTTAACACTAGTCAACATTAGATTTTTTTTCGCTCCAGAGAAGAATCAAGCCTGGATTCATTCCAGAGCAATACAGCATTGTACAGCGCCTGTTTCTGCTATAATCAATTCAGGCCAACAATCCTCTGGATAAAATTGATCACTTATTGGCTGTTTGTGGACATTTGTGCACAATTGTTCGCCCACAAAATACACAATCACTACACTTTACAGTAAAATCCTGTGAAGCGCTTCAAGATGTCCTCGCCAACGTTAAAGCACTGTATCAGATGCAGGGTTTCTTATTATTCATTTGTGCTGTTTCATGCTCTAAAGCACAGAAAGGAAATGGAAGGGAGCAATGAAGTTCCAGGGACTAATGTATAATTGAGAACAGGCTGCCAGATTTGTACGAGTTCATTTAATTTCTACTCAACTCCTCGCGACAGGTATTTCATTGATGCATTTTACAGGAACTCACTGCCACACTCGGCTCTGAGATCATCTTTTGTGTACTCTCATTATTTAGAAGGCTGCACTGCGATGCGGCAGATGGAGTTGAATGATTGGAAAACCTGCAGACAATAGCCCTGTTCTGTAATCTCCGTTCTGTAATATTTTAAAATAATTTTCTTCTTTTGTTTGTTTATATCAAAAAAAAACTCAGTCTGATTACAAACGATGGCGTTTTTATAGCCATGTAAAAAAGATTTTGGCTGTTTTGGTATTTCTGATGACATTTATTACAAAATGCCTTGACGTTTATGAGATGGTTAAGCTCCTCGATAATGCTGCGTAGGCTGAAATTGCGATGCATTATATTCGGCTCATTTAGATCTATTAGCAGAAACTCGAAACTTCGCAACCATTTTTTGGGGGACATTTTAAAAATTCTGTTTAAAATGCATTATTTATTAGGTTTAATCTTCCTCTGGTCAGACATCCTGTTCCCAAGCTCTTACGAGGCTGTGGTTGGCTGTGCCTTACCCCCTCTCTCAATCTGCAGCAGCAACAACAACAAATAATAAATTGCATTCATATAGCGCCTTTCACGTCGGGAGGACATCCCAACATGATGGACAATGAGGGTTTTGCACCCAAGCTGCGGGTTGGGATCAGGGAGGGGTGAAAGTTAAGGGGGGGTGGAGGAGGGAAGATGACCGAAGGCACGGTCGAAACTCCCACACCATTTTGACCCCCTGCCCTCCTCCCCTCCCTAGACAAGACTGTGAAAGAGGTTTGCACAGGGATCTATATTGCACTGAACCTTCCTTCCAATGGGATTTCCAATTTTACAGACATTATTAGAAACTCATGCTTCGTGATGTGATAATTGCACCACACACTGTGGATTTCCTCCCACAAGTGGACTTTGGCTGTTCCCAAAGGTGACAGATATTTACTTAGCACAGTACAGCCTGGCTATTCATCTTATAAAGTGATCCTGTATGAGTGATGGGAGGCAGGGATGTATCATTGTTACCACCAGAAAACAGCAATCCTTTCCTTGCTTTAACCGAGGCTCCGTCTGCCTGTTCAGTGGACGTTAAAGATTCCATGGTACTATTCGATAAAGTTGGTCATTACTTTCTGGTTGTTTCTGGGAAATGGTGATGCGTAAATCAACTACCGGGTTCACGTACAATGCACAGTCACTACACTTTGCAGTACACCCCCTTAAATGCTTTGAGACATTCCAATGACGTGATCGGGTGTTAGATCAAATGCAAGGATTGGGGATTATTACAGAGAGAGTCAATTTCACAGATATGTATAAAAAGAGTCTTTTGGTTCAGGAATAATGGGTACAAACTGACCAAAATTGTTATGAGGTGTTTGAGGTTGTTTAAAGCTTTGGAGTGAACTGCAAAGAAAATCCACTGGTTCCTGCACTTTCAATTCATTCTTAATGGCAATTTATCCCTCCAAGTAGAATGGGCAGTTCGGCACTAAAATATTGTGAATTTAGGAGACAGTATCACATTTTATTGGGTCTCTCTAGAAGATGCATTAATTGAAAATGCACCAGGATTGAATAATTAATCACTGACATGCCCCTTAGATGTAGTCCACATGCTATAATGTAATGAAACATTGTTCTCCCTTTCAATAAACCCACCCAGTTTCAAATCGCATTCAAGCCCAGGTACATTTTGTTGGATCACAATGGAAGGGAGTGTGTGGGTGAGTGGGTGGGTGGGGTATGGTGGGAGGGAGAATGCAGTTTGAGGGTTGGTGAGGGAATTTTTTAAACAAGATCCATTACTCTTCCCTCCCATTGCACCCACCCCTGGAGCGTTCTGCAAACCAGACTGTCATACCCACAAAAATAGACCATTTTTATTAAATATAATTAGAGTTTTTGAGCGTAATACAAAGACGTGGACTTGAGCTGTTTGCAACACTCTGTATGGTTTGCCACCACTGTGTTTTGTTTTCCCGATGGTTTTCAGCCGGTTAAAGTTCCATTCTTCTGTTTGCATTTCAGTGTACGTTCCCGAGGAGGACCTGAAGGCCGGAGAGCTGAGGGAGGGAGAGGACGGTAGCCCTTCTGCCGAGGAGCTACAGGGCAACGGTTACATGTGCGCTGAGGAAGAGGAGGAAGAGGAGGAAGGAAGCAAAGGCAGTTACAGCTACCAGAACTCTCCAGCCAGTGTCCTGTCCAACCAGGACCCTGAGTGTGACTCGCACTTAAGTGACACCAGCGACAGGTTAGCTGACTTCAAGAGTACTTCCTCCAAAGATGGGCAGGAGAAGGAAGAGGAACCCAATGGAGAGCTGAAGAACGGACAGCAAAACAGTCTGGGAGCAATGCGGGCTGTGTACGCCAGCTTCCTGTCCGACTCCTACTGGTCAAGTCTGGGGTTTGACCTCAAGCAATCAAAGACTGAAAGGACGAGCTGTAAAAGCAGCAACGAAAGCACCAAGAGTAGTTTCGATTGGCACCAAGACGCGCTATCCAAAACACTGCAACAGACTTCCTCAGTCAGGCCAGTGCCTAAGCCAAATCTCTTCAGCTCCGTACAGTTGTACCGACAGAACAACAAGTTGTTCGGGACTGTTTTCACCGGCGCCAGTCGGTTTCGCTGCAGAGAATGTAGCGCCGCTTACGACACTCTGGTAGAGCTCACCGTGCACATGAACGACACAGGGCATTACCAAGACAACAATCTCAAAAAGAGCAGCAACAACACCAGCTGCTGGTCCAAGACACGGAAAAGGGCCTTGCAGGAACTGGAGGGGAAGGGCGACGCACAGAAGGTTTTAAAGTGCATGTACTGTGGCCACTCGTTCGATTCCCTTCAAGACTTGAGCGTTCACATGATTAAAACGAAACATTACCAGAAAGTGCCTCTGAAGGAACCGGTGCCAGCCATTGCGTCCAAGCTCGCCCCTCCCCACAAGAAACGCTCGCAGCACGAAGTGCACCAGCCGTGTTCGCCGGACTCGACCACCGGCGTGGCGGGGGCGTTCGCAACGGACGCCCAGAAGAATTCCAACCCCTACGGGTCGTCCAACAATCGCTACGGTTACCAGAACGGCGCCAGCTACACCTGGCAGTTTGAGGCGTGCAAGTCCCAAATCCTGAAGTGCATGGAGTGCGGGAGCTCACACGACACCCTGCAGCAGCTCACCGCGCACATGATGGTCACGGGGCACTTCCTTAAAGTGACCAACTCCGCTTCCAAAAAGGGCAAGCAGATCGTCTTCGACCCGTTGGCGGCAGAGAAAGCGCAGAGCGCAGCTGAGGGATCGTCCGACGAAATCCAGTCCCTGGCGCCCGTCGGTCGGTTGCCCCCGGACTCGCTGACGGCCTCGATGCAGGAAGATAAGAAAGATCAGGAGGAGAAGCAAGAGGTGGCGGAGGAGGCAGAGGTGAAACACAAAGACAAAGACGACTGCAAGGACGACGGCTCGGAGACAATGTTCGATCCCACTCTGCAGTATCAGTACATTAGAGAGGAGGATCTGGAAGAAAGCTCAAAGGGAGGCGGCGACATTCTCAAATCGCTAGAAAACACAGTGACTTCGGCTATCAACAAAGCCCAAACTGGGAGCCCAAGCTGGAGTGCGTATCCGAGCATTCATGCCGCCTACCAGCTCCCCGGAGTTATCAAGCCATCAATGCAGCTCGGGACTCAGATACTGCAAGTTAAACCAAACCTGAAGCCAATCGCTCCAAAAGTCCGTTACTTCTCGGTGATAACCAGCAGCCAGAACCAAACCCTTCCGTCCAACAGTGAGCAGGTCAAGGAAGAACCAAGTAGCCCAGCTCACAAGCAGCAGCTTTCATCCAAGCAGGAAGAAAGCCAGAGTGAGAAAAAGGAAACTAAGCCAAGTCTCCAGTCTGGGGGCGTTTCGCCCTGCAAGAAAGACAGCGACAACCCGGTAAAAGCCGAACCGCCCGGCGATGTGTCGAGGACGGACTCTCCGTGTTTAAAAGATGCCGAAGACGTAAAGGAAAGCTTCAAAAAAGAGCCCGTGAGGAGCGGCACCAAGTCTCCGAGTTTTTCTGTAAGCAACGGGTGCTCTGGAATGACTGTTATCACAGATCACCCATCGGAACAGCTTTCTGTCAGCCCGCTTAGTGCATTGCAGTCCATCATGAACACACACCTCGGCAAAGCTGCCCGGCCTCTCAACTCGAACCCAGACCCTGTAACTATGTTGTGTAGACTCAATAAAAGCTTGATGGAGAAATCAGCTTCACCACCAAGTCTAATCAAACCATCCAGTCTCACTGACCGATATTATTATGAAAGCAGCGATCAGCCCATGGATCTCACCAAATCGAAGAGCAGCAAAACTGCCTCATCAAACCAAGTGAGGTCCTTTCCTTCAATACCATCCAAGCATGCTCTGTCTGATATTGCTGACATGGTGAAGATCCTCCCGAAAGGTACAACACCCAAACCGTCTACCTCATCGAAGATGACATCAGAGAGGTTAGAGACGGACGTGAGGAGCTTTGAAGATGTGTCAGCAGAATTATTACCAATGCAGAAGAGAAAAGGTAGGCAGTCAAACTGGAATCCCCAGCATCTCCTTATTTTGCAGGCCCAATTTGCTGCCAGTCTATGGCAAACAGGTGAAGGCAAATATTTATTGTCAGACCTGGGTCCGCAAGACCGTATGCATATTTCAAAGTTTACTGGACTCTCCATGACTACCATAAGTCACTGGCTGGCCAATGTGAAATATCAACTGAGGAAGACGGGAGGAACAAAATTCCTTAAGAATTTAGACACAGGACATCCAATTTTCTACTGCAATGATTGTGCCTCTCAGTTTAGGACTCCTTCCACATACATTAGTCATTTAGAAGCCCACCTGGGCTTCAGTATGAAAGAAATGGCCAAACTTTCTGTACAGCATGCCAGAGGGGGGAAAGAAGTGTCAAAGGTCACAACTGAGAAGTCAACAGGGGCGACGGTAGCTGAGGACGACACAGGCGGCAAGTTCCAGTGTAATCTGTGCAATCGAACTTTTGCTAGCAAGCACGCGGTAAAATTGCACCTCAGCAAAACACATGGCAAGTCACCAGAGAACCACTCGCAGTACGTGACTGAAGTACAGGAAGAGTAGCAACTCAAGGTGAGCACCAAAACCCAGTTGCGATACTGATCAAAGACATCCCAATTGTTTGAGACACATCGAACAAGTGAGTGAGTGAGTGAGTGTAAAGTGTATCAGGTTGGAAAGCGGACCAGTCTATCCGTCCCTTCCCATCTGTTCACCCATTCTTTTTTAAATCGATAATGTAAAATTTTTGGGCAGGAGCTAACAATTCCAAGTAATAAAGATTGTTGTTAATCCATCTGTTCACTCGTGGTCTCGAGTGACTGTTGAGCCAGAGAGCAAGAGATTTTCCTTTAATACAGAAACACTGCTCAAAAAGTAGAGTGAAAGCGTCATTATTATAATTTCCCTTTTGACCTAACTCAGGTGTAATGTCCATGTAGCTGATTACATACAGTGTGCTAAATTAGCGCCTTTCTTCCTATTATTTAAACTGAATATTAATTAAACCTGTTTAGTGTCTCCACACAGAAGCATTCTAAATAATATCTTTTGGCTGAATTTGCTGACGTCTTTCACAGTAAGGTTCTGATATATGTCACATGTATCTTAAAAGCTTGCTCTTTTTTCCACAGGGATGTATGAGTGCGTGTTAGTCAATGCAATATTAGCTCTATTGTAACAGTACTGTGTGAAGCTTAAATTGTTTCAAAGGTAGGTTGTGATTGAATGCAGTTTCTACTATTTACCATGATTATGACATACATTAATAAATTAGCCTTTTGGTTACCGAGTCTTTCTCTGTAGAGCTCAAGTCCTATCATTGCCAGAGCTGGTTAAGCTCAATGCACGCTCTGGGGTCCTTCAGCCTTGGCTCTTGCCAACCTGCGCCTAATACTATTAAATAAACAGGATATGACCCATCGGGGAGAGAGTGAGCATTCCATTCCACACTGGAATTTCCATGTGTAGGTGGCACACATGGAACTCATGTCTGGTTTGGATACGCTTAAGCACGATAATGGGTTCCTGCATGCAGATGCCAAGCTGACCTCCCAAAAAAGGAAAAGCCTATTATTGCTGTCCGTAACAATAATCTATCAATAGCAAATTACCATTCCGCACAAAGACTCTTTGAGACAGTCCCAGACAGTCCATTGTGAAAATACCTTTTGGAAATCGTACAGAAATTGTGTTCTGGCGAGGGAACTGTCACAAACTCTGATAAGTGTTTGCTAGACGGTTTCGAAGGGTTGGAGAAAGAAAACTAGAGAAAAATAAAGACTGGAAACAAGCGATGTGGAAAGGGTTTGTGGTTTTCAGCACATGGGGGAAAAAAAAGGACCACACACAGATTACATTTTTTACTTGAAACAGCCAAAGTGTCAGGTTGCCTGCTGCGTGGTCTAAGCTGACCCAAACTCATCATACGGTCCAACAAATCTAACACAAGCTTTCTGCTGCTTTGCTTTTAGTGGAAGCCAAAAGGGATAAACAGTTGCGCACTAACTCCAGAGTGACCCAAATCAGGGCCATTGTAGAAACACTCAAATGGTTGTTCAATTTGGATCACTTTGGTTTCCATTTGGCCTGACCTCAGAGAGGAAAATGTTCCTGTGCTCTTGCCCTTTATGTTGCTGTGTCCCATTGCCAGGCAGGCAGGCATGGGCCAACATGTATTATGTTGGGAACCAATGCAGCAGAAGTGGCTTATCATCTTCATTTATTATTTTTTCCAAATTGAGCGCTTATCATTCGAGTTACTTGTGTTGTGGCCGATTCCTGTCACGGGTGATGCAGAAAAAGTCTTATTTTCCAATGTGGGCCTGTGGAAGGGACAGGAACATGATCCTCTATGGGGCGGTACGGAGTATGTATCTATATTGAATAGGGGGTGTTATGAGCTGTACTTTTTACAGGGAGAGACATTTGTGAATGACCAAGGCCTCAAATGCAGGATATCACCAAGGTTAGAGGACGGTAGGTGAGAATTTGATGTGCAGGGTGACAAAAAAGTTGTGATGTCATTACAATGTCTAAAAAATCTTGAAAGAAATGAAGATATTTTAGTCTGTTTTGATATAATAGGGTAGATATCACCATTTTGTGGTCAGCCTGTCAACAAGAAATAGAGGTTAGGTCATGCCAAGTTTGGGGAAGGGTTAAAACAGCAACAACAACTTGTGTTTATGTCGTGCCCTTCGCTTAGTATAATGTCTCAGGGCACTTTAGACTGATGGGATCAGAGGCTGAGCAGGGCATAGGGGGAGAAGTGACCATAGGTCCAGTAACAGAGGTAGGTTTCACTCTCCAGGACACTACCCCGCATGAAAGGCGCTATATAAATGCAAGTCGTTGTTGTTTTGATCCCCAAGGGTGAATGGATGAGAAAGGTAAAGCATTCCACAGTTGTGTGTTTCAGGGAGGACAAATGAGATAAAATGATTTCAGCAAAGTGAGGATGCAGAGAGAAGGGAAGTCATAGATCAGTTTAGGATAAACTTTGGAAGAGCGATGATCCTAATAAGACAAAAAAAAGGGACGACAAGAAGACCAAGAAAGTTGAAAGCAGAATCTGATTTCTGGCAGACTAGAGTATGTTCCCTGTGTGTAATATATATGTGTATTATTTCTGGCAGTGTAGGCAGTCTAAAGAGATCTGCTGCATCCAATTCTGCCAGTGTGCAGATTAGTGTAATCTCTATTCCCTGTGGCAGCATAGTGAGGCCATGAGCCTGTGCTACCTGGCAATGTAGGACGCTTTACATGCCAGTCACCCAGATAACATCTTTGCCCTCGCTTATGTCTATGTTTTGAAAGGAGTGGATCAGAAATCAAAGGCTGCTGCTCACGCTCTTCAAGTTAGGCTGAAGAAACGATTGAAAGCAGAGAATCAAATAGAGAGCAGCAATCGACAGCCTTTAAGATTAGAATCTCTGGCTGCTATCAAGAGGAAACTTAAAGCATTGTATGTTCTGTCAGACATTACGGTGTATGACAGATTATAGTGAGACTAGCATAACATTTCCCTGTGATAAAATGTAACATCCTATTTCTCCGTTCTGATTGCTTTCAGTAACCTTGAAAAATGGAAATCGGAGATACAGCCCAACGAGCAGTTTAATCTTTTAACCCCCACACTTTCACCTCACTCCTTAATACCTCTATTCCCTAAGAATCTGTCTTATCTTTTAAGCATGCCTATCATTTTCGCCTCTGCAGCTTTGTGAGCCAGAGTGTTCCACATCTTTGCATCGTTTTGTGTGAGAAAATGTTTCCCGTCCTCCTCAGTCCTCATTGACTGGATTTAATTTGCACGGTCTGATTGGAAGGCCATGTCCCCCTTGTAATGGATCCATTTACCAAAGGCAAGAGTCACCTACTATCCAACCTGTCAATTCCTTTCAATATTTCATACAGCTCAATCATATCACTCCTTAACCTTCTTTGCTCCATACAACCCCAGACTATCCAGTGTCTCATCATAGCTAAGCCCTTTCATCCCAGGTGTCAATCTAGTGAAGAACCTGCAAACTATATTTTAGCTATTTAGGAACATGAACCCCTGAATCCCCCACAGCGCAGGCAGTAGTGTAAATCACTTTGAGCCATCCTTCTGACATGAACTATAGGCATTATGTGAATATAAATTTCACTTACTGTTCTCTAAGCCTTTTGGTTTTGTTGGATACTGACCTCAATCCATTCCTACAGACCAAACAATATCGTTCTTCAGTGTAAGAGCATGGGCTAGGAGGGTGGCTAGGATTAGGGAGGGCTCAGACCCCCAATTCCAAATTCTCCCCAGTTTTAGCTAATGGGATGTTGCGGGCAATGAGCTGAATGAGAGGGAGTTGAGTCACACTGCGCAATCGTCAGTGAAACACCGTCACGATATACGAGAAGAATGCAGCTCAGCTCAGCCCCTTCACAATAATAATAATAATCCTTGCATTTGATATAGAGCTTTACACATCTTCCAGACGTCTCAAAGCGTTTCATAGAATATACCGTAAAGTGAATTTACAGAATATTTGTGGGCAAAGGGATATATTCACCCAGAGCCTACGTGTAAGAGTGATTTCCTGCAGCTCATTCCCACAAAGGAGAGTGGGGTGGGCAAGTGGCTTTAAATTCCATGTTATGAATTGATGTATGTGCCAGGATTGTGCTTACAGGAATTTTCGGTAATGATTATTTTTGTCAGGTGATGAGTCAAAAGAAATACCAATTACTGTAAAAATTTGAATACTGGCCATTGTGTACCCTTATTATATCAACATAGGAAATGTCAGTCTAATTTGTATTCCAGCCCAATTTGCTTTTCATAATGGGTCAGATTATGGAGTCATGGCTGTACATGTGTACGTTACGAAAAGGAAGCACAGTCTCTTTAATTACATATTCATTTCAGATGCCCTCTTCACCGAGACTCTTGTAGGGATCGGCTGAACCACTGCCAACAAACGGTTTTGTATGCTTTGAGGGTTTGGGAGGGAAGAAGGCAAATTACGAAACACAATAATTTGGGTTTACGCTTACATATAGCAAAATAAAGTTCCCTGCGATTTGGCAGCACAAATGATAGATGGTTGGGAATGAACAAAACACACAATTCTCCACCCCTGGTGCCCAGCTAGTACCGTTAAGTGCTTTGGGATGTCCTCCCTCTGTGAAAGGCGCTGTACAATTGTAAAATTGTATTATATTTATTGTTTGGAAGCCATACACAAGGACCGCCTTTCTCCACTTCTGCCACATTGCCCGCCTTCGACTGTAACTTGCCACAAATGCAGTCGAAATCCTGGTGCATGCGTTTGTTCACCTCCCACCTGGATTACTCAAATGCACTCCTCACCGGTCTCCCCAGCTCCACTATTCAAAAGATCGGCTCATTCAGAACTCTGACGCCCGCATACTGACCCGGACCAAACTCCGTACCCACATCTCACCAGTTCTGGCCCTGGCTCCACTGGCTCCCCATCACCAAACGGACGGACATCAAGATCCTCACACTGGTGTTCAAATCCATTCACTCTCTGACACCTCCCTTCCTCTCCCATCTCCTCAATCCCCAATCCACCACCCGGTGCTGACTGGCACCAGCCTCCTGCTCTTCCGTCGCACCCTCCGCTCCACCATCAGAGATTGCACTTTCAGACACTACGTCCCGAAACTCTGGAACACTCTCACTCAAATCGCTCCGCCTTGCCCCCTCTCACCCCTTTTTCAAGTCCTGCCTGAAAACCTTCCTTTTCGACTGTGCTTATGGTCACCGCCCACCCCCCCAACTCCGGCTCAGAGTCAGGCTCTACCATTGTTAAGGCTCTG